ATATATATATATATATTAATATTAGCGGTGGCGGTAGGAATATATAATCTTCGCATAATATCGCGGCACTTTCGCTGGCATCGACGACGCGTTGTCCGGCGTGTTCCTCGGACGTCAACAGGTTAGCAGCGTTGATAGCGACGGCGCGCGAGTGCGGATCGAATCGTAGATGTTGTCACTTTGACAATGGGAAGAAGACTACGGTATCATTTGCGGCGGAATGTCGTCGGGCGTGCGGCGCTTGCTGGACTTTGCACAGCGGCGTATAACGCGAGGTGTTGGTCAGTCAAATACTCATAATAGGGCGACGGCTGATANGGTGTTGGTCAGTCAAATACTCATAAAATAGGACGACGGCTGATAAAGGTGGCACGAGTCGTGGGGCATTGTGTACAATGAAACGACGCGGGCCGTGTCAATTACAATAAAAATTTGTTATATATATACATAATTGATGACACGCGCGCGTCTACGGGTTAGAAAATATTGTTATCTACGAGGGGTGAGCGGGGTGGGGCGAATGCATTACAACAGTATAGTCTCAAGGTCATACACGACGGGATACGCGACATAATAACACTTGCCGCGTGGAGTTACAAACGACAAACGACAAACATACACGAGAAACTAATATAAGCGTGTTAAAAAACAAAACACATCATAGTAAAATTAATACCTTCTCCGCTTTGCATCGAAGCTAAAATGTAAAAAATAAAATCGAGAATTTTCAGACGAAAATAGCATTTGGTAGCCATTTTCACTATGAAGACAAAATAAAGTCCGAATTTTTTTTTTTTTCATAATAAAGTATATTACATTATCTTTAATTTAAGATATATATAAAAGTGACAGACTTTCTGGAACACTTTCAAAAGTTATGTGTAAAAGTAAAGTTTTTGTGAAAAAGTTGTAATTTTAAATCCCTCCCTGTGGGCAGATAAAGGGTTAGTTTTAAAGAAAATATATACCAAATGATAGGTAAAGACATTAAGCATCTATAAAAAATATTATATGGATATGTTCATTTTTGAAAAAGTTATGACAGTTTTTAGTAAAAAAAATTTTAAAAATTTCGAAAATTAGTGCTTATTTAATTTGTAATTTTTTGGAGGTTTCCCCCATTTTCGGGGAACGAGGGAACTTTTTTCAATTTTTGAGAGTAATGTCTTCGACTAGATACGATTTGTGATCTTTTGACGTATCATTGAAAGAAATCGATTCGGTGAGAGCTGAGAAAAAGTGGTAACAGACACAAAAAAAAAACAGCACAGGGGGGTCGCGGCACAGTGGTGATGTGGCATAGTTGAATCAAGTATAATGATATCTGACAGTGATTAAAATCACTATCAAAAAAAAAAACGCTTCGATGCAAATCTTTAGATAGTGTTTAATTTTAAAAAATTGGTGGATTATTCCAAAAGCTTCATAAACTGCTAGTTCCTTATTAATATCCTGATTAAGATAAAGTATGTCGAATGAAAAAGGGATTATTAAAAAATAGTATTTCCCATAAAAAAATTATATTGATCAATACACTTTTCAATAAGTTATAGCATTATAAAGTTAAAAATGTAAAAAATAAAATCGATAATTTTCACACAATAATAGCATTTGGTAGACATTTTCACCGTGAAGACAAAATAAAGTCCGAATTTTTTTTTTTACATAATAAAGTAGATTACATTAGCTTTAATTTAATATATATATAAAAGTGTCAGACTTTCCGGAACACTTTCAAAATTTAAGTTGAAAAAGTCAATTTTTTGTGAAAAAGTTGTCATTTTGAATCCCCCCCTGTAGGCAGGTAAAAAGTCAGATTTATAAAAAAAATATACCAAATGATAGGTAAAGACATCATGCATCTACAAAAAAAAGAATTATATTGATCCATACATCTTTCGAGAAGTTATAGCATTATAAAGTTAAAAATATAAAAAAGAATTTTTTTACAAAAATCGTATTTTTTTTATTAAGTTTAATGTCTGTTTTCACCATGAAGATAAAATAAAGTCCGAAATTTTTTTTTACCATTATAAAGTAAATTACATTAGCTTTAATTTAAGATATATATAAAAGTGTCAGACCTTCCGGAACATTTTCAAAATTTAAGTTAAAAAAATTAATTTTTTTTGAAAAAGTTGTCATTTTAAATCCCCCCTTGTGGGCAGGTTAAGGGTTAAATTTATGAAAAAAATATACCAAACAAAAGGTAATAATATTACACATTTATATAAAAAAAAATTATATTGATTTGTTCATTTTTGAAAAAGTTATGGCACTTTTAAGTAAAAAAAATTGAAAAAATTTCGAAAATTAGCGATTTTTAAATTTGTAATTTTTTTGGAGTTTTCCCCCATTTAAGGGGAACGAGGGAATTTGTTTCAATTTTTAAGAGTAATGTCTTCGACTAGATACGATATGTGATCTTTTGACGTATCATTGAAAGAAATCGGTTCGGTGAGAGCTGAGAAAAAGTGGTAACAGACACAAAAAAAAAAACACATCTTAGTAAAACCAATACCTTCTCAGCTTCGCATCGAAGCTAATAAAACTATTGGTAGTAAAAAAATTTATAAAACTATTTAGAATCCAAGAAATAATACTAAATATTCACATATGAACCATTAATAAAAAAACATAATAATATGAAAGTGTATGAACGCAGCGCCCGGTGATATTCACACGGGTTCGTTAACGTTCGTGGTTTTGTTTTTTTTCTTAAGTTTTTAGCTATGTCGAGGATAAGGAATAAGGCGAGTGGCCTGTATGTTTGAATGTAGAATGAATTTCACAAGATATAATTATAACGATTAAATGTATTATACAAGAAATATAAAATCTTATATACACCGATGTGGATAGGGGGGACACTTAATACTAATGCCACTAAGGCGATGATATAAACAAATAATAAATTATACAAGCGAGTGTTAGAAAGATAAATGAACAAGCATTATACTTATCTGCTAAATGAAACGGCTGATGATAATGTTGAATATTGAAAGGATCAATTGAAGTCGAATGCAAGTAGCTGACCAAAGTGTACAATATGCTGTCAAAGGTATTGTGATGTATCTCAGAAAATATATAGACCCAACGGCGATAAACTGAGCGCACAGGGTACGACAATCGCAAAGGTGATATTTTCTTTTTACAGTAAAACGAATACAAAACTTCTAACACGCAAAAACGCCATAGAGCTTATATCAGAAGAAGCGTTAAGATGGCTGCGACAATGGTAACATAGAGAGAAAAACCGACAACAACTCGATGTAACACAACGATAACATGAATAATCAAAAAACACATTTTCTTGACTGCATATTCGATCGATGTGTATCCAACAGAAAGAATGTTTTTTAAAATAGAAAATTTAGCTAAAGTTATTATGGCAGTTTAGAAATAAAATTAATACGAATTAAGAAGAATGAACTAAACATATTTTATTTATAATATTTTTTATTTTTTAAATATTTTATTTATCAATGCTAATAATGATCAAATTTACCTAAAATATANTTATGGATGTTATTGATTTTAACATCCATTATTTCTATAGAGTTATTTAAAGAAATAAAAAAATGTATACAACAAAACTGAATCATCAATATTTAAAGGAATTTGATAATTCTCTAAAAACAGAACTGGTTTTATTTTATGAAAAACTAATAATTGTCTTTATTTAATAATTTTCTAATATTCTGTTTTGTATTATCGATTAAGTTAAATCTTGAATGAGTAATTAAATTGTCCACTTTTCATATTACATGTATTAAAATATTTTATTGAAAAATTCTATTGTTTTACTTTCAATTTGATGAAATACCATTTCAAGTTTGTAATTATAAATAATATTCAGTTAATTGTATTTGAAAAAATGTTATTAATTCAAAAATACTTGGTTATTTATTAATTTATATCTCCGTAATGAAGAATTATGAATTAATTAATACTTTTGTATTTATAGTAGGATAATGTAACAAAATAAATACAGATTTTATTTTATTTATTTATAAATAAATTTTGATTTGTGACTTAAATTTCTTTGATCCAATAATTTTACTAATTAAAGATGCACGATAAAGATAAAATACTTAATTAGTACTCAACAATGTATTGTCATGTACAAAATGTTAGCAAATATTAAATGATATCAATTTTTGAATTAATAAATTAGAGAACTGTTATGAAATAAAATAAAACTTAATGAAATTATACTTTAACAAATATGAAACACAAAAGTTAAAAAATCACACTTAATGTATCAAGATATTTTATTAAAAGTCAAAATTATAATCAATTATAAAATTTTCTAACTTATTTACTGTCAATACAGTTTTAAAAATGTTGAATAAATTTGCCAATCTATGAAATAAAAAAGTGTAAATTATAAAACTAATTCATCATAACGACATAATAGTTACTAATACATAACTAATACACAACTCTACTTTTACAAAAATAAGAGTAAAATCATTTTTTCCTATAAAAATGTACAATTTATAAAATATGCATCAAATAGTGTGTGTATACAATATACATACACATTGTATTAAGTACATTGTACACACCATAGTTGTTTAATAAAAATTCTAGTATTTTGTGCTATAATGTTTATTGTTTACTTTGTATCGACAAATAGTTGGGGAATTAGTTAATTTTAAAATTAGAAAACACTTTATTCACCTAACCAAAGTAATTAGATAAACTGTTATCTAACACCAAGATTTTTTGGTATATTCTCAATAGTATAAATAATAGAATCATATATTTAATATAGAATATTATTCTTGTTTTTTGTACAGTGGTACTTCTGAATTTTATTTAAATATTCTTATATTAAGTTATTTCTAGTAAAAATACTTGAAAATATTTCCATTTAAATCATTATCTACTTTAGTTTAAGGTATTAAAATCATAGTATTAGTAAATTAGTATTTTGTTCGCATTTTCCTTTGAATTTAAGTCATTCTTCATTTTTGGAATTTCAAATCAAAGTTAGTAAGAGTATAATATTTTAAATATGTTCATAAAAATAATTATTTTCTATTATCTAGCTTGTGAATAACTATGGGAAAGTTATCAGTATATGAACGTATACAATTATTGATTTATATTGGATTTGGAGATAAAAAACGTTCAATGAGACAAGCCTGTACACTTTTTAATGAACAAAATTGAAAATTGAAAAGTTGGTATCATGTATTATAATCATAACATGTTATGATCTAATGTCATACAACTCTATGTTTTCTTTAAATATAAATACAGTATTTAATTAATAGGCGTGAACAAAGACTAAGTTGATTATAATCTGACATAAATTCACAATAAAGCACGCGCCATTCGAATCTGGAGACAACGAAAGAAATAGCAACGGTTCAGAAAAATGCCCTGACGAAAGCCGTTTAAATTCATATATAATACGATAATACGATAATTAGACATCAACAAAATTATTCGAATTAGAAAAGAAGTTTAATAAATCGGTGCATTATAGAATGTTTTGTAATGATTTACCGTATCATTATTGAACCTAAACTGTTGCGTGCGTGTGTTCTGTAGTGCCGTCAATTAAACGATAATACTTAATTTATAAATAAACTTTTAATTTTGAATTGAGATTAGAAGTTTAAAAAATGTTATTTGACAAGTATAATTTTATTTTTATGCTGTATAATGATATATGAACATCTAACACAAAAATACTTCCATTAACTAAATAAATACGAATAAATAATAATAAAACATATATACATAAATAATAATTTTACATTTATTATTAATAAATGTAAATACTGTATACATATAAATTAAAAGGAATAATAGTATAAGGCTTATAGGAGTAAGTTATTTTTTGTTTAATTACGATTTTTATGATGTTGCTCTCACGATTAATTTTCTTTTTTATGTTAATATGTCTTACTAGTAGCATATTTAGTTGCCGTAAAATGAAGCAAGAACGAGAACCAGAACAAGTGCCAGAACTAAAACGAGAACCAATAGTAAATCCTGATGAAGTTACTGCATTTAATAATATTATTAATTCTATAGGATGGAATAATATAATTGGTTTTGAATTTAAAGCCTTTAATGGAGATTCAGTACCAATCAGGGAATGGGTCCATGCATATTCTTCTATCAATAATGTCCCAAAAACTCATTTTAAAACAATATCAAAGCCATGTGCTTCAATGGTATTAAGAAAAATTTATTCAGATATGCTTCATCCTTTACGTGATTACTATAGTTCTCTGTCATTAGTATATAAATACCGAGATGAGGAGTCTAAATTGACGAATTTGAAAATATTAATCGAAATGTTTTCTACGTTTAAACCACTAATGTCTTGTATGGCTAATGCATTAAATTATTTTGAATGTACTAATGAGGATTTTGTATTCGATGTTCTCAACAAATCATTATTATTAACTGACGAACTGACTACTATTAACAACTTTTATAATTCAGACAACACTCTAAATTATGAATTTATAAATAGCACACTTGAGAAAATTTATGTTTTTGCTACAAAATACGGATATCTTAGACTAAAATACATTTATGAATTAAGAGTTGAACCATTCTTACAAAACTATATTACTGAATTGAAAAAACTACAATATAATTATTCGTATAATAATCATATTGACCCAAATTTAAACTTACATGTTAAAAATGGTGTTTTCTTATTGTGCAGAAATTTTGGATTTTAATATTAGGTGGTATAATACATAATATATTTTTTTCTTTATTGTTCTTCCTTACTTTGTAATTTACAATTAACTATCAATTAAAATATTATATTATACATATACTTTTTAAACTAAATAATTTATTATTCACTAATAAATAAATTTAGATTCTATATTTTAAATCAAGTTTGAAAATTCAGCCATTTTAGATTATTACTTTTGTTAATTATTGTTACACGCAGGGTAATTTTATTCATTATTTTTATTACTATTATAACTTTTCCTTTTTTTAATATTTTTATTAATTATTAATTATTTTAGACAATTACATATTTTGTTCAAATTATTTTTTTTTTATCAAACCTCAGTCTTTTGTAAAATATTTCTTTGTACAAGTCATAAAATATGTGTATAATTTTTTTTACAGGCATTTATTAAACTATGATTCACGCAAATCTTTATAAATATACAACATAATATGATTTTTTCATTATAGAAATTTATTATTTCTACCGTTTTATAATATTAAAAAAAAAAAAATACATCCTATCTCTTTCTTACTTCCTTAAAATTTTATCAAATAATATTTTTAAATGAAAACATAATAAAATGATTTTGTAATTTAATTATTCATGTGTTATTAATTTTTAATTATTCAAAAATAACTACAAAAACCTAACACAGTGATGTCGTGGCATAGTTGGGTCAAGTATAATAATATCTGAGAGTGGTTAAAATCACTAAGAAAAACGCTTCAATGCAAATCTGTAGATAGTGCTTAATATTAAAAAATTAGTGGATTATTCCAAGAGCTACATGATCTGCTAGTTCATTATTAATATCCTGATTAAGATAAAGTATGTCGAATATAAAAGGGATATAAATATTATTTCTTATAAAAAAATTGTATTGATCCATACACTTTTCAATAAGTTATAGCATTATAAAGTAAAAAACGTAAAAAATAAAATGTAGAATTTTCATACAAAAATAGCATTCGCTATCCATTATCATCGTGAAAACAAAATAAAGTCCCCAATTTCTTTTTAACCATAATAAAGTATATTACATTAACTTTAATTTAAGATATATATTAAAGTGTCAGACTTTTAGGAACACTTTAAAAAGTTAAGTAGAAAACGTTAATTTTTTGTGCATAAGTTGTCATTTTGAATCCCTCCTGTAGGCAGATAAAGTGTGAAATTTATAAAAAAAATATACCAAATGGTAGGTAAAGACATTATACATCTATAAAATTTATTATTATTTTTCTCTAGAATAAAATTTTCTAGATACCATAGTCAATTTTGCATAACCTTATTTAAGAGTTTCATTTGATATTATTATTATAATATATTTACTTCAGCAACACATGATATTTGCATTATATTTTTTAATAATAGAATAATATTCTTGTTTTTGAATTACTTTAATAGTTGTTATATACAACTGATTACAATAAATCATTTATATCAATAGAAAAATACATTTTATACTGCAGACATATAGCTTGTATAATAAAAATTTATAAATTACCTTTAACTTTTGTTCAAAGCCATCCATATGGCAGCGTCGGTGATGACACGTCTCTCAATAAACATTATTTTATAAGTTTCATTGACCACTTTTCAAAATGTAAAAGTGTTACAAAAATATCACGCACTAAAAAAAAAATGTCAGTTATTAAAAATCATTTTAATTTCATATATTTAGCTTCAGAACGGTCTTTATGAGTTTGATATACTTACTTACTGAGGTACTAAGTACGGCGTCCCTTAATGAAAGTTTTCAAAAATTAGAAACACTATTAATTATATATCAGCAACGTGCTTTTCTACTAGGATCCTAACAGTTGGTTAAGCTGTACCTTAACGGGGTAATGCAATTCTTATATAATTTATATCCTACTAGAAGGACAGTTAGCGTTTTGTGACCAATAAATATAGACTCTCAACTAACAACAATAGCAAGCATTTATTTCTATTTAATAGTATATTTAAATAAAACCTGACTGGATCTCTATAATCATTATAATACATGACATAAAAGAAATTTGCCGTTTTTACCTGTTAAGTTTATTTTCGTAATAATACCATTTTACTTGCATGCCAGAAACCATAGATACATTGTCAAGTAAATTATTGAATTAAAAACTTTGACAAAAATAAAATGTATATCAATCTGTATTATTTAAACTTTTAACAACAGTCAAGGAAGATGTTAACTTGTTATGCAAAAGCTTTAGATTTGTTTGATGTGTAAAATAGTGTGAAAATATGAATAAAGGAAATAAGAGTTGATATTGCTATTGGAATAATCCAAAAATTCCTTCAAAAAATTAAACACTATCTAAAAGTTCACATCAAAGCATTTTTTATTGTAGTGATTTTAATTACTTCAGATACCATCTATACATGTCCCAACTACGTCGGAAACCAATTATTTTGAGTTTTTTTTTTAAAGTTTTCACTTGAAACAATATGTTATTGAAAAGTTGTCTACTAAAACTAAAATTCAAAATTATACGTGATTTTTAAGACTTTGAGAATTATCTACTTTTTTGGTATTAGCTAAATCAATTATTAATTATAATATTTCATTTTGAGGAGGAATCTATCATTTAAAACCAACTTTAGGTAAAAAAATTGTTAAAAGATATATTATTAAGTAGAAAATTCTGTATAAATAATCGTTTTTTAATAGTTATGCTATCTTTAAAAGACATATTTATTTATTAAATTTTTATAACATTTTTATCAAAATTATTTTAATTTTAAATTTATTCATAATATTGTTATACTTTAATTAACGTCCCCACTAAATGCGACCCTGGGTGGTCCACAATGTTTTGAAAAATCTAATTACATTTGATTAAGCAAATACTCTGTGTTACTTTATACAGATTTGGACTCTGTTAAAAGCATATTAATAATTATTTGTCTCTAATAAAAAAAATTAAAATAAATTTTTTTTCTCTGGATAAATTGATATAAGATACTATGGTCAATTTTGCATAAAATTATGTAAGAGTTTTATTTAATTTTAAACATTTTATTTTAACAAATTTGAATCTGCATTACTTTTGTGAATAAAAGATTAATATTCTTGTTTTTGTATTACTTTAATATTTGTTATATACAACTGATTACATTTTGTATTATTTATATAAATTACGCATCTGATTGTTTTTCATGATTTATATTTTTTTTAATTAATAGAAAATTTTTTTAATGTCGCTAATATTTGGTTATTACTAAAAAACTTATTTTTTTTCCCTAACCAAATTTTATTGAAATATTTCCTCGCACCGTAAGAAATTTCCGTACACACACGTTCCAGGGATCGGTCCAAACAATCAATAAATCTCAAAAAATTCAAAATAAATGTTTCATTTTTTAATTCTCTACTATAAATTTTGTGCCTGGAAAAAATTGTCTAAAATAATCCTAAATAAATGCATTATGCATTGAAATCTGGGCCCTAGAGTTGCACATAACAATAACATCTTTAACATTATTCATTAAGAATACGTATAATATAACATTTTTTCAAAGTGATATACAGATTGTCATTATGTTCTACCATCTTTAATAGCTTTAATTTATCTACCGAATATTTTATGTAACTTTTTACAGTTTTGGACTTCATTAAAAGTATATTTTTAATTATTGGCGTCTAATAATATGTATAGTAAAATGTTTTGTTAACAATATTGTTTACATTATTAGAAATATAAATTTATTTGAAAAATTACGTTACAAAATATATTTTTAATTGATCAAGAAAAAAATAAAATAATTGTTGTATATTAACGAAAATAGCAGTTATTTTAAGCGTATAATTATTAAATAATTTAACACAGCCAAATTATAGGTAAAATTTTTTTTATTTAAGAATTTATTTTGTATAACATCTTTTTTATCTTTTATCATAATTTAGTACTGTTTTTTTAGTAATATAAACTCCGCTATAAAATTTGTATGTTTCATTACTCATAATTTATTTTCAATTATGACAGAAAATAATGGCAAATGTGAAATAATAATTTTATTAAAAAATATTATATCTAGGAATAGAGCAAAAAGTGACGGAATTATTTTTGAACATAATATTGTATTTCTCAGTAAAAAACATTCATAAAATACACATTTTTTGCAAGTACAATATTTGAATTTTTATTTTATGCGGTAAAGTTTTAATTTCATTCGTTAATAAATATCAGGAAAATAATGTATATAAAATTTTACGTCTTATTCAAATTTGGGTAGAACTTGGATAGGATATTTGATCAAAAATGAGAAGGAAGAGTTGTTTTTTTTTTATGTGAAATTTCACATAAATCGATTTCCTCTTATTTAAATATTCGTAATTTTTTTTTTAAATAATCGGTAGACAGATTAAAAAATTGTATAATACATCCAAATTCCTTAGGGACACAGCAGATGATTTCTTCATTGAGTAATAAAAATCAATACATTTTCCAGCATAACCTCGATCAAGTTAAGGTATATCGATTTGCACCATTAGAAATATTGCCCCAGACTTGAGGAAAAATGACTTTAATTTTATTTTGGACCTAATTTTAATTTCTAAAATAATTAAAATTAAATAATGATCTTTTTATCATTGGTGTCAATGTATCAAGTAGTACTTTTACCAAACTTTAAGTTTTTATGGAGAATACTTTATTTAAGAATTTCAATTAAAACTTAATGGTATTAAATTTCCCCACCCTCTTCTAATCTTTATCATATACGTTAAAATCATAAAAAACATAGATCTATTAACATAAAATTATGAGTTTTTAGTTTAGAAAATGGAGAATCATCACTGATAATTACCTGATCTGATAATTTATCAAATTAAGATAAATAATAACGTATAGTATTCGTTTTATATGAGAAATATTTGATATTCATCAATTACAAAACAATATTTTCACCACATTAGAATTATTTTATTTTTTCTGTATGCGTTTCTATACAATTAAAGCAATTGTAATGATTTTCTCAGTAGTTATTTTAAACGTTGTTTAAGTATTGAATGACATTATAAGTCACCTTATTAGAAGTAAGTTTTTAAGGTACATAATATAAAATTTTAAATTATATTTATGAATATATTTATAATATTCAACACATTTTTAGCTTCGATGCGAAGCTGAGAAGGTATTGGTTTTACTATGATGTGTTTTTTTTTGTGTCTGTTACCACTTTTTCTCAGCTCTCACCGAACGGATTTCTTTTAACGATACGTCAAAAAATCACAAATCGTATCTAGTCGAAGACATTACCCTTCAAAATTGAAAAAATTTCCCTCGTTCCCCGTAAATGGGGGAAACCTCCAAAAAAATTA